CACCCAGGACGGTGCTGTGGGCGGGTGACCAGGGGCACCCAGGACAGTGCTGTGGGCTGGTGGGGTTCTAGAAGACTCAGACAGAACATCAGTGGGCAGAAGAGTCCAGGAGGGGGACATTTTGGGGGCCAGAGGAGCCCTGGGGACTGCCCTAGGGAGGAGGGGGCCACAGCCGCCCCATGACAGGGTGAGGGTTGAGGAGTCTGACCAGAAGGGTAAGGAGGCGGCAGTGGGGGCAAAGAGCCACAGAGAAAGGAGCAGTGGCAGGAGGGCAATGGCCGGAGCGTCTCTGTGCTCAGGGGGGTGACCCAGGCTCTGGGGGGTGACCCAGGAGAGGCTGCTGATTCACAGAAACATTCACAGAGAGATGGGGGCTGAGCCTCAGAGAGGGGCAGGGCCTTATTCACCAGCACAGGAGTGGGCAGAGGATGGGCACAGGACAGGTGGGGAGACAAGCCAGTAGCTGGGGCCGACAGCTGGGGGAGGGAGGGCCCTATCTGGGGAGGGGATGGCCATGGCCTCTGTCTGCATGGCACCGTGCCAGGCCATCTGGGGTCGGTGAAGGGAACAGTGGTAGGCAGCGGTGGGCGCACACTGGCCTGTCACCCCCCCCAGGGCACCCCTGTGCACCACCCCTCACCCACACTGGGTATCAGGTCCCACCAGGGCCCGGGCAGCCCCAGGCCATCCCCACTGGAGAGCCCGAAGCCCCACCTGACTCCTTCTTGCTGCTCCCTGACCCCTGGCCCTCCCCCCAGGCATCCCCGGTGCAGGGTGTGCTAGAGAATTACAGCGTGGCCCCAGGGAGCAGATGGAGATGTGGTCTATCTCGCCTGCCCCCTAGGTGGGTGGAATGGGACTAAATGTCCCCCTTGGAGACAGGCCCAAGCTCAGTTGACAGTGCCAGCTCAGCAGGACCCCGCGAGCTCAGGCCTCCTCCCGTATGTCTGCAGAGCCCACCAGGACCCCACCTCAACCTTCACCAAGATCTACAAGCGCAGCTTCTGCCTGCTGCAGGCCTGGGTGGAGGACTGCTATGCCGTGGACTTCACAAGGAACGCTGGGCTCCTGGGGCAGCTCCAGAGCTTTATTTCCTCCAAGGTGACGGTACTCCAGGCCCTAGTTGGTGGGGCGGTGGGGGCTGTGGCGGCAGCAGGGGTGGTGGGGGCGGTGGGGAGCTGTCCTTGTCCAGGAGACAGCAGCCTCCGAGACCACTGCCTGTGCTCCTGCCCAGATCACACCTCTGGATGGCTATGCGGAGCACCTGCTGGCCCTGCTGGAGGTGAGCACAGACCGGCGGGGCGAGGGGGCCCCACGTGGCGGAGACCTGGACCACCCCAAGGAGGCCGAGGAGGACACCTGGCCCCTCAACGCCCTCTATAAGAAGTTCTCGGAAGACGGCGTCTCCCGGAAGGTGGGGGCTTTTCCCAGAAGAGGGTCTCCATAGACAGTGCCCTTCCCCTGACCGAGCCTTGAGGACACAGCCCGTGTGCACACATACACACATGCATGCACACACCTATGCACACGGACACCGGTACAAGGACACGCAAACATGCATGCATACGTGCATGTGCACGCATACAGGTGCGCATGCACACACTTATATACTTGCGTATGTGCACTTGCACATACACACACATACTTGCATATACACACTTGCAGACACATGTACAAGCACACACACTACACACATACGGGCGTGCATGCACACATATACTTGTATGCACACATACACAAGCACACATATACAAGCACATGCATGACACAAAAGCACACGTGCATACATACCTGCACATATACAAGCACACATGTACGCACACACTCCTCCATGTAGCCCAGGCAGGACCCATGGGGGCCGTGGGGAGGTCCTTAGCTCCACCTGGCCTCGCACAGAGCTTCCCCTGGCGGCTGTCCAAGGGTAACGGGCTGGCACTGGGACCGCACAAGGAGCGCCAGTACACCATCGCGTCGGCCCTGCCCAAGCCCTGCTTCCTGGAGGAGTTCTACGGCCCCTACGCCAGGGTCAGCGAGAAGGGGCCCTACTTCCTGACCGAATACAGCACCCAGCAGCTCTTCACTCAGCTGACACTGATGCAGCAGGTGAGCCCGGGTCTGCTCTCTGGAGGGACAGATGGGCCGTCAGTGAGGGGAGCCAGTGGCCAGATTCTCAAACCAGGCAGGGAGCTACTGCCCGGGGGGTGGCCTAGGAATGGCACAGGGGGCACAAGCCCTCCTTCTGCAGCCTCTACCCCTCCCCTCCGTCTTGAGAGGGCACCCTGTGGACCACTGCATGGAGCAGGCTCGGGAATCTGCCCCCGACCCGACTTCACCCCTTGGCTCCCTGGCTGCAGCTCAGCAGAATGTGGGGCTCGCCCAAGCCTGGGTGGGACCCCAGTGTCGGGAGCACCCCATAACAGAGGCTCAGCCATCCCATCCACACCCAGCAAGTGCCCAGAAGAGCCCCACCGTTCACACCCACTGACCATGTCTGCTGACCACTGCCCACTGGGCACACTGGATCAGCATCAAGCCCATAATTGCAGAGCTGTCCTCCAAAACGCCACATCTCTGTGGGGCCCTTATTTTGACCCCAAGGCCCTTGGGAAGGACACTTCTGAAAGTGTTTTCACACCCCTGACAGGAACTGTTTCAGAAGTGCCACCCCGTCCACTTCTTAAACTCACGGGCCCTGGGTGTCACGGACAAGAGTACAGCCATCCCAAAGTAAGTCTGGGCCCCGGTCAAGGTTGGCAGCCAGGGATGGCGGCCCAGGGTCCCTGGCGCTGTTGGTGGGCGACAGGGTCTTCGGGAGGAGTTGGGGTGGGAAGCGTTTGCCCTTTCTTAGCATCCTGGGGAGGCTCCTATCCCTGGCTGCCCAAGGGAGGGGCTTGTTTCCCCGTGGCTCACCTGGCTGACGCTGGTCCTCAGTATGTGGCCTCTGCCACAGCACAGCCGGGCTGCAGAGCCCCCACAGACCCAGCAGCGGGCATCTTCAAGGTCTGTCCTGGTGTGGCATCCCTGTGTGACGTCGTGTGGGACATCCCTGAGTGTGACACCCCCTTGTGATGCCCACGCGTACCAGCCACGTGTATGACACCCTCAGGTGTGACGTCTCACGTGTTGTCCATGTGATTTTCCCACGTGACGTCTCATGCATCTGCGTTTCTATTCCAGAGCCTTCTCTTCCGAGTCTTTGTCCGCTAAAACCTGCAGCTTGTTTCTGCCAAATTACATCCAAGACAAATACCTGTTGCAGCTGTTAAGGAATGCAGATGACGTGAGCACCTGGGTGGCTGCTGAAATTGTGACCAGCCATACCTCCAAGGTGGGTTCCTCTGCTGCTTCCAGGGTGGGAGTCTCGGGACCTGCTGCCGCTGGGGGTTGGCGGGTTTCTGGGGGTATGGATCCGTCCTGTCAGCCTGGTACCAGATGCAGGGATCAGATACTAGATGTCCTTCCGGGTGAGTGGTGCATGAGGTGAAAGATAAAAGTGGCACCACACACTCACCTACATTGCTGTCACACCAGACACACCCCAGCTGTCAGGTGTGCAGCATCCTCACCTCCGTGCCAGGCGCAGGCATCTCCCCTACTGGGGGTGCCTCTTCTGCCTCCTGCCTCCGGCCCCCCAGACACCTGGCTCCCTCCCCAGGACCAACGACAGGCCTCCCCAAATGGACCCTTCACACATGCATACGCACATATGTGCATATTTGCATGTGTGCACTTGCTGTGACACACATGACAAGTATGGACATTGCGTGCACGCACTGAGACATGCACACGGGCACCCGCCGTGACAGCCATGCACACGTGCTGACACACATGCACGTGCACACGTGCCCATGCACTGACACATGCGCACTCACACGCACTGACACGTGTGCGCACTCACACGCACCGACGTGTGCACACACGCATACACATGCATATGCACTACACACATCAGCAGTTTCTCGCACATAGACACAAAGTCCCTCCTACGCACGCTCCCTCTGCTCTGGACCTGTCTTCCCCAGACCTCAGGGCAGGACGCCTTTCCTGCCCCTGCAGCTGCTCCCACCCCCACCCCACCCCCACTGCCCACTCCTAGCACAGCTGGGAGTCCACTAGGTTTGTCTGGACAGCGGTTTTGCTTCTGAGAAGTTGCACGTCTTTTCACATCCTTACACTGACCAGGCTTTTGCTTTTCAGTTTTGTTTTAAGGCCCATCTGCTCTCCTGCCCCCACCCCTCTACCGCCACCGTTTTCTGACGAGATGTGTTCGCCCACCCACCTCCTTTCTGCACGAATGGGGTCCATGGTCTGCACCTTGAGCCTGGGTTATTCTAATGGGTTCCCCAAAATGCTCCCCGTTTGTTGGGGTTGAAACCCGAGGATCCTGAGTGTCATCTGCTGGTTTCAGCTGCAGGTGAATTTGCTGTCCACATTTTTGCTCATCGCAAAGTCTTGCTACGAGCAGAGGAATTTCGCAACCGCCATGCAGATCCTGGGGGGCCTGGAGCACCTGGTCGTGAGGCAGTCCCCCGTGAGTACGCAGGGGCATGCGTCGGGGGTGGGACCCGCATGGCCACCGGGGGTTCAATTGTGCTTTTGTTCCAGGCCTGGAGAATTTTACCAGCCAAGATTGCAGAAGTCATGGAAGAGCTGAAGGCCGTGGAGGTACAGGGTCACCTGTGCTGCTCACCAGCAGCGTGAGGCCCTGGGCTTCTCCTTAGCCGCGTGCCCTACACACCTGGCAGCTTAGGACCCAGGGGCTCCGCGGAGCCGGCATGGCGCACACAGGGCAGTGCTCAGCCAGCCGGCCTCACCGTGAGCCACCCAGCGCTGGGCCTCTGCCACTCGCCTGTGCAAAGGAGGCTGGTGGGAGCCACACCCTGGGTCACATTCACCCCAGACCTTGCTTGTCTAATTCCTGACACGGTTCCTGGTGCCGAGGCCAGGCCTGGGCTCAGTGAGACCAGCCAGCCTCAACACCTCACACACTTAACACATGCACACAAGCACGTGTATTCTTGGAGGGGCACAGAGGCCGAGCAGTCCCAGGTTCTGGACGCTGGTCCCATGCAGGGCTCCCTGCAGAGAGGGCGGGACTAGGGAGTGTCCCACTCAACCCCAAAGACACAAGCTGAGCATCTCTGTCCCCCAGGCCCCTCCATCCCCTGGCCCCTCCGGCCCCTGGCTCCCATCCCCCAGGCCCCTCCATCCCCCCGGCCCCTCCGGCCCCCAGGCCCCTCTGTCCCCCAGCCAGGTCTTCCTCGGACAAGCTGGGCCACCCTGGCTCTTTTTCAGGGCAAGGCAGAGACTAAAAGAACAAATCTGCTTTTTCCATGGCATGAAGTGCAGAGCTTCTGTGTCCATTCGGGACCTCAAGACCATGGACTTTGGAGCCAAGACCCCAAAGCCAAGCTGCTTCGATTGGGCGGCAGTCAGGGTGTTTGTAGCTGCCGGTGCAAACACACTGGGGCTGGCGTCAGGAAGCCCCGCTGACCCCTCCCTCCCCCTCTTCCCCCCACCCCCGTCTCTCCCTGTCCTCCCTCTCCTGTCTCTCCTGATTCCCCCACCCCCCTCTCTCCCTGACTGCCCCCCACCCCTGTGGCCAGGTCTTCCTCAAGAGTGACAGCCTGTGTCTGATGGAAGGGCGGCGCTTCCGAGCCCAGCCCACGATCCCCTCAGCCCACCTCCTGGCCATGCACATCCAGCAGCTGGAGACGGGGGGCTTCACCATGACCAACGGGGCCCACAGGTGGAGCAAGCTCAGGTGAGAATAAAAGGGTCCACTGGGTGAGGCACCTCCGCCCAGCCTCCTGCTCCCCCTGGCCCCCCGCCTCAAGTCCTCAGCGCTCCCTCCACCCCTTTCATCCACCTCTTTCCTAGGTGTGCAGCGAGAGCCAGGCGCACCTCACCCACCTCTGCACCTGTCCTGCTCCACCCCCACGACCCACACAGCCCACCCTCCATTCTCACTCTGGCCCCTCCTCCACCCCCACACCCCATCGTTTCTCAGCCAAAGGTCGGCTGCCCCTGCCCCGTGTCCTCGTCCACACTGGCAGCGGGTCAGGGGCCCCCATAGCCCCAGAGTACAGGACAGACAGCCTCACTCTGTGAATAGGACCCAGAGGACCTGTCCAGTGGTCCCCACCCCTCCAGAGACCAAGCCTCCTTCTCAGATCATCACCAACTTTTACAATAATATTTTAAGAAACTAACAAATGTATGCTTGTGAGAGATCAGAAAACCCACACAGACAAAAAAGAAACGAAAAATCAAATGTAATGCCGCAATCCAGAAAGAGCCGGGGTGAAGAGCTAGCGTGTGTTCTTCCTGGTTTGTGTGTATGTGCGTGCATGTATATATGTGTATGTGGTATGTGTGTGCATCTGCGTGTATATGTATGTGTGTATAAGTGTGTGTACGTGTGCATATGTGTGTGTGTGCATGTATGTGTACGTGTACGTGGGTGTGTGCATATGCGTATGTGTACATGTGCATGTGTGTGTGTGCAAGTGTGAGTACGTGTGTGTGTACACTTGTGTGTATGCATGCATGTGTGTCTTCTAATTAAACATGCTATCACTCGTACTGGACCTCCAGGCTTTTCACCCATCATCATGATGGGAATACCTACCCACATAACCCACAGTCCCTCAGGCGGACTCTGCTCTGAGCTCCCTTGTTCTTGGGTCATACCCAGTGGTGTGCTGGTGCCTGTTTAACAACCAGCTCTCCGGGGGAACACGCCCCGGTTTGCAGTGTTTGCCGATTCTCCCACCACGGCCAATTTTAAGCTGCTGGGGTGACATCACTGAACGGAGGCTGGGAGAGGTGCACCCAGCTCCCCAGTGGACGATGTCAACTTAAATAGCCCCGGGTTTACTTGTCTGTCCCCTGTACTAAGCTGGGCCCCAACAGCTGACGGAGGGCTTTATTCTTGTTGAAATCCTCAGTACCAGCAGGGCTTAACAGAGCAGCTGTCCAGTAAATAGCTGTGGAATGAAAGTGAACGAATGGGTGGACGGGTGGGTGAGTGGGTGGATGGACACACAGATGGATGGATGGATGGGTAGAGAATGGCGGATGGATGCATGGGTGGATGGATGGACGAACAAACGGATAGACAACAGGTGGATTGCTAGATGAATGGATGGGTGGCTGTATGGGTAGAGAATGGCGGATGGATGGATGCATGGGTGGATGCATGGGTGGATGGACGGACGAACAAACGGGCAGACAATAGGTGGATTGCTAGATGAATGGATGGGTGGCTGTATGGACAGACAGACAACGGGCGGATGGATGGATGGACAGTTGGATGGACAGACGGACGGACAGGTGGTTGGAGAAACAGACCTGAGTAATAGACCTGGTGAATAAGTACAGAACACTCACCCTTTGGTTTTTGTGCTTCGAAAGGTGGTGTTTAAACAATTCACGCGAGCATGCCAGTACCCACGAGCTCACAGAAGGCTGCAGCCCACCGGTGTGAACTAAATTTCGCTCCTCCCAACAGAAACATAGCCAAGGTGGTGAGCCAGGTGCACGCCTTCCAGGAGAACCCCTACACGTTTGCTCCCGACCCCAAGCTCCAGTCATTCCTCAAGCAGAGGATTGCGCGTTTCAGCGGGGCCGACGTCTCCATCTTGGCCGCGGATAGCAGGGCCAACGTGCATCAGGTTACCACCGAGAAGCATTCGCGCAAGATCCAGGACAAGTTCCGGAGGATGAAAGCGACGTTCCAGTAACACAGACGGGTCTGGGTGTTGAACTCCAGGTCGGGGACAGAGCCAGTGGGGAGGGGGCAGCAGGACAGGAAGGAGCCTGTCCCCAAGGCATCCTGCTTGGCAAAGGTCCTGTGCCTCCCAGCCAAAACACTGCGCCCACGGCATTAGATAGCTACTCCCTAAAACCCGCGTGGAAGGAGAGCCGGGCGCTAGTGGACGCGGCTTCTCCGCTCCAGGGCCTGAGCAGACCAGGAGGTGAGGCTTGGAGGGAACAGCCTAGGTGAGACAGAAACCAGCCCAGGGGACCCCGGAGCTGTCCCTCCTCCCCAGTAGATGCAGCCAGGACGGGGCGCAGCAGGAGGTCTGGGGAGTTTCTGCTGGAATTAAAACCAATGAAAACAGATTGATCCGGTCCCCAGAGCTGTATTCCCACCCACGAATTTCATAGACACGAGTCTCACCCCATTGTTGAGTGAACCAGTCCCCCCAAGCCACCTGCAGCTCGCTGATCGGAAATTCTGTGAGCCGGCCCCATGTCAGCCACGAAGGACCAGAACTGACCAGGAAAGCAGGACCCTGCTGGCCATTGACCTGACACGCCGACCCCTGGCTCCAGGTATCCCAGAACCCCTCTGCTTGAGCCTGAGGTCTCCCCTGCCCAGGCTCACACACCACACCCCGCCAGGACCCCCACAGGTGCCGACTGTGAGGCTCACCTATTCTGCTGGCAAGCAGCCTCCGCGGGAACTGAATCCCGCCTCTGCCCGGACCCCTGTGCCAGCCGCTCCAGCCGAGCCTAGCTCCTGGGAAGGCGGATGTGTCAGAAAAGGCTTTGCTTTCTAGAAAACCGCTTGCAGCCCAAGCCAGCTGTGACAACGCAGAGGTGTGGCCTTAGGGGTCAAGCGCCCTCTGGCCATCGGGCGGACAGGGGACCACGGGGCAGCCAGCCGCTGCCCTCCAGCCTTCAGCTGCCATAGCAGCCCAGGGGCCCCTGCCCAGCCCTCCCCGCAGAGGCAATGCCCCCAGCCCCCCACCCCCACACCCCTGGACCGCCTCTGCTTGGCCTCATCACTAGTGCTTTTTCGGACCAGGCAGAGGAACCAGGTCTGCTGCCTTGATGGCACCAAGTTCTTCATGAAGGTTCACTGTTTAAGCGTTTGCACATCAAGTGGAAGAAGGCCCTCTGACCAGTGGGGTGGGAGTCCGGACAGGGCAGCGAGGACAGTCCTCACCAGGGGCCCAGGGAGAAAGCCACTCACCCCACACAGGCCTAGCCCCACTGCAGAACGGCCAGACCCCTTGGCGGAACCCCCAGACACCATCAGCTCTTAGGGTTACCTTGCAAATTACTGCAAATTACTCCAAAATGAGCTTTTAGAATTAGTGATTCTTTAGAGCAACCAGCTAGTGGTAGTTCTGGGGAAGCTGGTACTTGTGATAAAACGCTGAATTTTTAACACGCAGATGAAACATTACCAACATTACTCATACCAACTCACTGGAAACCGCCGTGTCCCGCTTAGCTGTAACAGAAACACGGCACTCCATCCACGCAAGCACGCCGTGTGCTTTTTAGGCTTTTCTATCAGGGGTATGTTCTGCCAATCAACTCAAACATTTTCAGATTTTGTATTTAACAAAAGCAGCGTCACATGCCCGGGTCGGAGTCAGCATCCAGCGCAAACAGACATTTGCAGACGATGCTCGTTCCTCAGGCGCACCCGGCTTCCGGCTTCCGGCTTCAGCATGACTGTTTGCATGCCGCCTGACCTGACGTGACACACATTTCTAAATAAAATCATTTCGACCCGGAGAATGTCCACGTGGTTCCTTTGCTGTTGTCTCCAGAGTGACGGTTGCTTTGTGGGCTAAGATCATCCCCTGCATGGCAGACAAAGAAACCCCTCACAGGTGGCTGAAGAGGTCCAGGGGTATGAAAAGTGCTCATCACAGGACAGACACCAAGTTCGCGGCCCCACAATGTCCCAGTTTCTAATTCAGGCTCCACCATGACCACCAGGTTCACCGCCACCCACGCTGTGAGCCAGCTGAGCCGGGGACGCCTGGCCTCGAGGACTCGACCCCAACCCACCTCTGTGCTGACTAGTGACCCCTCCCTGCACCCACCGACCCACAGTCCAAACCCAGGCAGCACCCCCGGCTCACGTGCCCCATCTCACATGCAGGATCCCCCACATCACCAACAGCCTGCTGACAAGACAATGGAGTTCGCTGCCTGCCCAACAGGGCCACGGCATTTGACCTCCACGGAGCTCTGGCCTCATGGGGGCGGGGGGAGGGGCTGCCATTTACGGAGACCCTGAAGTTTGGCTTAAGGTGGGTATTTCAACGCAGGGGCTTGGTTATGACTCGGAAAGGGTCCTGCTATAGCAGTTTGGACTCCTGGGTGGCGCAAATGGTTAACGCTCTTGGCTGCTAACTGAAAGGTTGGATTTCTGAATCCACCCAGAGGCACCTCAAAAGAAAGGTCTACTGCTTTCAAAAAGTCAGCCATTGAAATCACTACGCAACGCAGTTCTACCCTGACACACATGGGGGCACCATGAGTCAGGACTGACTCTATGGCAGCTGGTTTTTTCTAAGAAGGTTTAGGATTTGGTGGACGCAACAAAGAAAGGGTTTAGGGGCCAGGGATTCAAAGGGTTTTGAGCGTCAACTGTCTGTTGATGTTTCTATGGAAGAGCTGATGGGTCTTTGGGGAAGTTCCCCTAATGAACAATAAGGTCATGTGCCGGGGCTAGTGTCTGGGGCCAGTGGTAAAGTGATGCTAATGAGCACAGTGGAACGGTGAAGTCATGTTAATGTGGACAGCCTGCTGCACGAGGGTAGGTGGTGGTAGCGAAGCCACCCAGAGGCGTCTTGGAAGACAGGCCTGGTGATCTGATTCAGCAAGGTCACAACCTTGAAACCCCTATGGAGCAGTTCTGCTCTGCACACGTCGGGTCTCCATGAGGCGGAATCCGCTCGATGGTAACTAGCAGCAACAGCGTGTACAAATGTAGTCCTTGGGTGGTGCAAATGGCTAACACATTCGGCTGCTAACCCAAAAGGTTAAGCCCCCCCAAGAGGTGCCTCAAACGAAAGGCCTGCTGATCTACTTCCAAAAACTCAGCTATTAAAAATCCTCTGGAGCACAGTTCTACTCTGACACGCGTGAGGTCACCATGAGTTGTGGTCAACTCCAGGGCGACTGTTACTGGTTTCGTGTACAAAAACTAAAACCCACAACCAGACAAGTGGGGCAGCACAGCCAGCACCCACACTGACCCATCTGAACTACACACAGCCCTGAGCTTGCCCTGACCAGAGGTTTAGACCTTGCTCTGATGAGAGATTGGAGACCCCTCCCCAGGAGGACCAAGGGGCCTCAGGCACCCACCCAAAGTTAAGGTGACCTTCTGCCCCTGCCCAGAGAAATGGTGTCAGGAAAAATTATCCAAATCACAGAAAGAAGGCAAAAGGATGAGTGCTTGTCCTTTCAATTCATTCTGGAATGTTCACTAACAGGTCACCCAAGAATTATTTAATATTGTAGAGAAGAGAACTTAACAAATGTATGTCAGCATAACTTCCCTAGATGATTATTTAAAGCTCTGTCCCTTGAGTACTCCTTTGAATAAACCTTACCATCCTGCAGGGTCCCTGGTTAATTAAATAAAGCATTGACACATATTCACATTTGTGTAAGAATCCTATTTTAACTTTTTAAAAGTATACTTTGACAATAGGAAGGCTTAGTTTAGATGGATTAGAGAGTTTTACATTGAACTTTTCTTAAGTTGAATAAGTTTGTAACAAACATGTTTTTGTTAGGTGCCATCAAGTTGGTTCCGACTCATAGCGACCCTGTGTACAACAGAACGCAACACTGCCCGGTCCTGCATGAAAGTCTAGCTCCACTTAGTTTGCACATCATACCGTGTATTCATTTCCTGTGGCTGGCCACAGATTGCATGGTTTCAAACAATGGGAATTTATTCTTCACGGTCCTGGAGGCCAGAAGTCTGAATCCAGGGTGTCAGCAGAGCCAGGCTCTCTGGAGGCTCTAGAGAAAACCTTTCGTTGTCTCTTCCAGCTTCCTTGACTTGCGGCCACCTCACACCAGTCTCTGCCTGTGCCTTCATGTGACAGTCTTCCCTCCATGCGGCTGCCTGTCTCTCTTCTGACGAGGACACCACTCGGAAAGAGAAGAGGGCCCACCCTAGTGACCTCATCTTAACTAATTACATCGGCAAAGACCCTATTTCCAAACAAGATCACATTCACAGGCACAGGGTTAGGACTTGAACACAGGTTTTGGGGGGGACACCAACCCCGGACTCTGTGTCAGAGCTAGCCGGGCGGGGGGAAAGCAGCGGGCCTCCCCCGGGGGTCTCTAGCCTTAGTTTGCTGAGAGTTTTATCAGGAATAGGTACTGAGCTTTATCAAAAGCTTTTCTGCTTTCATTGAAAACATCGTATCATTTTCCTTCTTTATTTTGTTAATGTGGTGAATTCACAGTTTAATCTTAGAATGTTGAGAAAACTGCATTCTCAGAACGAGCCACAGCTGGTCTTGATATATTACCCTTCTTAAATATCACTGGGTTATGGGTCAGAATCCACTTGATGGCGTGGGTTGGTTGGTTGGTTTTAACTCAATCTGCTAACATTTTGTTAGAGTTTTTGCATCTATGTGAATGAGATATACTGTCCAACAATTTTCCATTCTTACAACGGCTCTGTGGGCTTTAATATCACAGCTACGCTGGCCTCTGTGTCCACGCTTCGTCTATTCTCCGAGCATTTGCTTAAGATCGCTGGTGTTTCTTTCTTAAAGGTCTGGAAAAATTAACCAGTGAAGCCATCTGGGCCTGGGATCTTCTTTGTAGTAAGGTTTTCAATTTGTAATTGTTTTTATAAATATGACAACAAACAACTTTAAATGAATTTTTAAAAAATTTACAGGAGCTTCAAAACTACCAACCGACTAGAAATAAATCTAAAGAAGGATGTGCTAAAGCAAGCTCGAGAGTAAACATCATAAAACAACACAGAGAAAGGAAGGAAGGCATCAGGAAGAGAAACATGCCCTGTTCACCAACTGGGAGACTCAATGTTGTTACTTTGTTAACTCTCCCCTAAATCGATCGGTAGTTTTCAATACAATCCCCATTAAAAGCCCAGACTTGGTGGAAACCGGCAAACTGGCTCTAAGTGTATGTGGAAAGAGTCTAGCACGGCCAAGATAACCTTGCAGGAGAACAAAGTTGGAGGACTTACAAATTTCAACTTACAATAAAGCTACAGAAATTAAGAGAGAGGTATTGGTGAAGACAGACACGTAAAGCAGTGTGCACACAGACCCACACGTATAGGATCACGTGATTTATGGCAAAGGTGCACTGTGGTTCCCTGGGGAGGGGTGATCTTGTTAACAGACGGGAGAAGCAAACCTTCTGCTGAAGTTCATCTGACATGCATCACAGTGCGGATGTGAAAGGTACCTGTCAGAGATGTATTCAGGGATAGGCAAAGAGTTCTTCAATAGGGCACATAAGGAATAGCTACAAAAGATCTGCTCCTCAATCAGATTTCACTGTTATTAAGAGTTTGCGTTCCTCAAAAGACTCCATTAAAAGACTGAAAAAGCAAACCAGTCTGCCAGAAGAAAATATCTACAAAATATATATCCAGCAAACGACTCAATCAAGAATACACACGGAACTCCTACCACAGTAATCAAAAGCTAAACAGCCCATTTTAAAATGGGCAAAGGTTTAGAAAGCACCTTCACAAAAAGGGCTATCCCAGTGTCCACAGAAAAGGCTATCCCAGTGCCCAGTAAGCACATCCTTAGCCATCAGGGAAATGAAAATTAAAACCACAGTAAGATACATCACTCATCCACCAGAATGGCTTAAGTTAAAAAACTGATAATACCAAGTGTTGTCAAGAATGTGAGCCCCTGCAACTCGGGGGCGCTGGTTGGGATCCTAAGCCAGTGTGACCATCTGGGGAACTATTTAGTCGAATCTACTACAGCTGAATACAGGTTGTCCCTACACACAGCCCTACGTGTACATTCACAAGAAATGAGGGCTGTGTTCACAAAGATATGTACAAGAATGTGCAGGCAGCTTTACTCAAAATAGCCCCAAACTGGAAATACGTCCAATGTCCATCAACAGTGGAACACACAGGAAACTACGAGAAGAGAACGTGGTAGCAACACAACGACATAAGAAGCCAAAAATCATCCCACTGAGCGAAGGAAGCTGTGGGAACATGCATTCTGTGTGACTGCACTTTTGTGAAATTCTAGAACAGGCAAACCTGACTAAAGGTGACAGGGACCAAAATACCGGTCACCTCTTAGGGGACACTGCCAGGAAAGGGGCTCAAGGGAGCCTTCTGGGTAGTGGAAACGTTCTATTGCTTTTCTGGGTGAAAGAGCTAGCCCATGTTAAAAATTTCTGGAACTTTATCAATAAAGTGAGAAGACAACCTACAGACTGGGAGAAAATTTTTGGCAGCCATATAGCGGGTAAAGGCCTAATATCCAAAACATTTATAACTTTTACAACTTGGCAACAAAAAGACAACTCAATCAATAAACGGACAGAGGACTTGAACAATCAGTTCACGGAAGAGGATGCTCAAATGGCTAACAAGCACGTATGAAAAGATGTTCAACATCATTAGCCAGAGTCGTGTGTGCCGTTGTGTCAATTCTGACTCATAGAGACCTTACAGGATGCAGCAGAACTGGCCCAGAGGGCTTCCTAGGCTGTAATCTTTGCGGGAGCAGATCGCCAGGTCTTTTCTCCCATGGAGCGCCTGGTGGGTTCGAACCACTGACCTTTCAGTTAGCAGCCAAGTGCTCGACCATTGTACCACCAGGGCTCCTTCATTAGCCATTCCAAAAAAGAAAACCAAACTCATTGCTGTCGAGTCGATTACGACTCATAGCGACCCTATTAGCCATTAGAGAGACGCAAATCAAAACCACAATGAGATATCACCTCACCCGTTAGACCAACAATGATCACAAAAATGAAAAACAACAGGCATTGGCGAGGTTGTGGAGAAACGAACTTTTATCCGTTGCCGGTTGAATGTAAAATGGTACAGCCGCTATAGATAACAGTTCGATGGTTCCTCAAAAAGTTGCAAATAGAACTACCATATGACTCAGCAATCCCAATCCTAGGAACAGACCTAGAAAAAGTGAAGGCAGAAAGGCAAACAGAAATCTGTACACCCATGTTCACTGCAGCACGATTCACAACAGCCAGAAGCCGGAAACCACCAAAATGTCCATCAACAGGTGAATGGATAAACAAAACGTGGTATATGCGTGCAATGGAATATTACACAGCCATAAAGACAAACGAAGTCCTGAAGCATTCCACAAGGATGAACCTTGAAAACATGCTGAGCAAAATAAGTCAGTTGCCAAAGGACAAGAACTGTATGATATCACACGAAATAAGCAAATATATAGAAACCAAGGATTATTACTGGTCACCAGTGGTGGGAAAGGGTGAAAAGGGGGGTGCTTTTGTTCGGAGGACACTTAGTTTACGTTAATAGTGGTGGAACGTTTTCAAAAAGGACAGCGATTATCGCACAATATAAAAAACGTAACCAAGGTCGCTGTATCGTGAAGGTGGTAACCGTTGCACTGGTGAACATTTTGGTGTGTGTATTTTCATCAAATAAAAAAAATAAATAGAACTGTATGCCATACCCACTTTGCCGTATTATGTTGTATTTTAATTAAAAAGCTTTTAAAATGCAATCCCTATTGTTTTGGAGGTTCTTCCCACGGGGCAGGCCCTGTCCCCTCGTCGCCTAGGGAGAAGGGCAGGAAAATGACAGAGCAAGAAAGCACCAAACTGAACCACGCGGGTAGCCTCAGAAGAGCCAAGTCTGTCGGGGCAGGGGGCGGGACGCGAGGGGCGGGCCCGGCGGTGGGCGGGACGCGTAGACCCGGCTCCGGGGGCGGACGGGGCGGCCGCGCAGGTCGTCAGAACGCGTGTGGGCGGCACGTGCGGCGCCCGCCTCCAGCTCCGGACCCCACACCCCGCGGCCAGAGCCCAGTGGGCCCCGGCCGCAAGATGCTGCTCCGGCCCCGACGGCCTCCCCCACCCGCCCCGTTCGCTACCCCCGAACCGTCGTCGCCGGTCAGCCCGGACCACGAGCCGTGGCCGGCCAGGGACCCCCCGGGAACTCCGCCCGGCGCGCTGGCGGCGCCGGTGTTACCCGTGTCGCCCGGCTCTGCACAGCGCACGCCCTGGAGCGCCCGGGAGACGGAGCTGCTGTTGGCCACGCTACTGGAACCCGCCGTGTGGCGCTCGCTGCTACTGGACCGCCGCCAGGCGCTGCCCACCTACCGCCGCGTGTCGGCCGCGCTGGCCCGCCAGCAAGTGCGGCGCACGCCCGCGCAGTGTCGTCGCCGCTACAAATTCCTCAAGGATAAAGTTCGCGACGCGCAAGGCCAGCCCCCGGGACCCTTCGACGCGCAGATCCGGGAGCTCATGGCGCTCCTGGGCGACCACGGGCACAGGCGCGGCCGCCGCCGCTCCCCAGGACCCGGACGCCCCCCGCGCGGCCGCCGCCCGGCCCCGAGCGCGCCTGCGCCCGCCCCTAACGAGCCAGGTAGGACGGCGGGACTGGTCTCCCCCGGGTGGGGGGAAGGGAGGGGACGGGGGACCCGGGAGGAGCGGGCAGGGCGGGCGCGGCACTCGGGCTGGCGGACCCGATCCCGGCTCCGCGTTCCCAGACGCCTCGCCGCCGTTGGCCGACCGCGACCCCGACGCAGAACACACCTGGACGCTCAGGTTCAGCCCGTCCCCTCCGAAGTCTGCAGGCGCACCACGCGCCCCCGACTCCCCGCCGCCGCCGGCACTCGGCCCAGCGGCCACTTTCACCCCCGCCCGCGCCGTAGAGGGAGCGGACCCCCTGCCCGGCCTCCCCCAGGAGCCTACGCTCTCCCGCGCTCCCAGCTCCTCGTCGCCGGCACCAACCCCCACCGAGGGGTACCCGGACCCGCTGCCTGGCCGCCCTGGGGAGCGCGCGCCCCCTCGCGCTCCCTCGTCGCTGAACGACGCCCTTCTGGAAACCCTGGGGCACCTGGGTCACATCGCGGCCACCCTGGGCCCGCTGCGAGACCAGCTGCTGACCCTGAACCAGCACGTGGAGCAGCTGCGCGGTTCCTTCGACCAGACCGTGTCCCTGGCGGTGGGCTTCATCCTGGGAAACGCCTCTGCCGAGAGGGGCCTCATGGGGGGCCTGCGGGAGTGAGGCCACCCGACCCCCCCACCCGACCCGAGCCCCTTGTGCAGCCCTGCCCTACCCCAAGCCTAGTACTTTTAATAAAAGTTGTTTTTCTTGTGCATCTGTTGGCGTGTGCAGATCCGCAGCCTGGCCGGAAAGACCCCCTGGGAGTAGGGCCTGCCCCGGAGGTGGGGGCGGGCCTGGCGACTGGGCTTGCACGAAGGTCAAGGCAAGGTTAAAATGTCTCCATATCCTGGGGAGGGGCCCCGGTGGGTTCTGGCTGTTGCGGCCTGGAGTAGTCTGCTCTCACCAAGGAGTGCACCCAAATGTGGCCCCAGGCTGGGGTCCCCCAAGTAGGCATGCTGGTCAGAACCTTTCCTCCAAGGCCGGTCAGTCTCCAAGGGGGGAGGGGGAGCTGCAGGTACATGGTTACCTGATGGGGTCCCAGTGTTCCCGGGGCTACACCATACTTCATCCACCAGGAGTTCTTTTAGCGCCAGACCAGCCAGTGGGTGAATAGCCTCTGGACCTCCCTGGGAACCCAGTGAAGGGGGAAGCTAAGCCTCCAGGTCACTGTCCTAACCTTGGAGCCAGTGAATGGGGGAGGAGCGAGGCTGGCGCCCAAGGCCCTAGTGCCCACCTGGGTCCAGTTAGCCCAGGTCTTGGGTAGGGTCTTCCCAAAGCCCTACCTCAGCCTCACCCCGCCTTGAGCTGTTCGGCTGAGATCGACCTAGGGATGCCAAAGGGCAGAGGAGCCTACAGTGCCCCTGGAGGCGAGGCGCTCTGCCCCACAAGAGGGGGATGGGCTCGGGACACCCGTCACCGAGATGGCCAGAGCCGGTGAGTTCTGAGCTGGGCCTTATCAGAATCAGGCGGAGCGTCTTCCAAATCGTGATTCCAGGCCCCACCCTGGGCCCCTCGGCGGCTTGGAGTGGGGGTGGGGTGGGCGGGAGATGGAGGTTTCTGAAATCTCTCCCTCCTGGGTGGAGATAACGCATTTGCATAACAACACACACCCTGTAGAATGCTTGGTCCTCATTTGTCAAATAGGGGGCCCATTCTGGGGCTGAGAGCTTTGCCCCGGGCCACAGAGCTCACCGAGGGTGGCCTGTCCTCAGGGAAAAAGGGCCCAGTTTCTCAGGGGTTGCAGCCTCTCCCCCACACCTTTTTCTGGAGGTGCTGAGCCACCCTTCAGCTGCATGTGGGCAGCCCGCAGCTCCAGGAATGAGGGCCTGAGCTGGTCCTGGAGGTCAGTTGAGAGAGATCGAATCCAGAAGACCCAGGCCTGAGCATCTCCTTGTTCCTGGCACACTCTTCTTTGCCCCCTCTCCACCATGCTCACCTGGCGGCTGCCTTTGGGAGGCTCCAAAACCTGCTGGGGGCGGAGCGGGAGCTGCTTGCAAACATGCACCCCTCCCCCACACGCCCCGAAGGTCAGAGCCCAGGCCAGGGAGGCGGTCTAAGGCAGACAGGACGCAGTGCCACCTCCACCCATTACTGGAGCAGATCCTGCTGCACGGCCGGCTCAGGTCCCCAGGAGACAACTCTGGGGCGTCTCCTAGGACTTCTCCTCGGATTGGGGTCGCCTTGTGTGGTTGGAGCCTCCCGGTCAGCCCATTCACACTTACTAAAGACTGCTTCTACAGAAGTGCCATCTACTTGACCTGTAACTGGCGAGTCTGAGCCTCACTGCCTCAGTGTTGCGTGGTGACCTGTCCAGCTAGCGTTTCCTCCAGGTAGCCATGTCCTGGTGTTACCCCTCTTTCCCCCATCCCCTTCCTCAGGTATTTGCTGGTGCGCTGAGAGGCAGCCCACTGTGCGTTTGTTCTGACGTGTGACACACACACACGCTGCTCTTCTCACTGGCTGCCCACTTAGGTGCCAACTGTCCCCCTTTCTGAGGACATGCTGTAGGCGCTGAATCCTGCCTTGCACCCGAGCGCAGGATGGACTTAGTGTCCTTCCTGAAGTCGTGTTCGTCCCCAGCTAGTTGCTTTGAACTTAGCCTGGCCAGCTACCTGGCCCACCCCTTCCCTGGTTTCCGACTGCTGTGATCCCCTCAGTCCTTTGCGCTGACAAGGCACCCTGCCCTGGAGCCGTGCACACTGCCTGTGCCCCTGCCAGCCTGGAGCAGAGGAAGCTGCTGCCGCCTGCCTCAGTGGGCTCCTCTGTCCCTGCCGTGGGACCTGCCCTCTTCCCCCCACCCCTCCCAGGCAGCCTCAGGGACCTGGCTTAGTGCCACCCTCTGTGCAGGACTGAGTCCAGCCTCCACCAGGACCTGTAACTCCGTCCTTATTATCGTGTGGCCCCTGTGGGTCCCGTAAAACCAGGGTCTCCTAGATGCTGCATGGTTTCCGGTCAGAGGCCAGTGGGCTGGAATCAGTCGGTATGGAATTAACCATACCGATCAGCTGCATGTGCTCATCACTGACCCCCCCATCTAAAGGGTGGCCCCACGTCAAGTCTTGTCATTTTCCCGAGATTTGATGTATTGGTTATAAGAGAACGTCTAAATGTTAGATCTTTGTCTCCAATTAGTCAAATAATCCTGTCCATTTGGAAGCTTCTTTGTTATCCTGGGACAACAACAACAACAAAAAAATCAAACCTGTGTCTGTCGAGTAAATTACAACTCACAGCGTCCCTATAGAAAAGAGTAGAAGTGCCCCATGGGGTTTCCAAGGAGCAGCTGATGGATTCAATTGCCGACCTTTTGGTTAGCAGCCAAACTCTTAACCAGTCTGCCCCCAGGGTTCCCTATCTCAGGATAAGCTATCCTTTTTTCTCTTTCATCCGTTCTGCTGTCTGTGTGCTCTCCAATGTCCCCATTTATCCCTGCAAACCAAGCTAAAGTAAATGGTATTAAGTTCAGAATAACAACAAAAAAAACCGAAGTTCTACTCTGACCCACCTGGCAACCCCGTGTGTATTAGAGTAGAACTACTCCGTTGGGTTTTCAATGGCTGAGTTTTTGGAAGTAGATCGCCAGGGCTTTCTTCCAAGGCACCTCTGGGTGAACTCAAACTTCCAACCTTCCAGTTAACTGCCAAGTGCATTAACCACTGGCACCACCCAGGGACTCCAAAGTGTTGCCTCTTCTGTATCCATTCCTCTCACTATGATGTCATCTGTATAGTGTCCCACCGATAAATGGTATTCTGAATGTTCCCACATCCCCAGGGAGTTTGTGGGGGCTAACTGTACTCCGGGGTGGTATTTGAAGTGTGTCCTGTTTGCCCCGCACGTGCATTCTAACCTCGGGCGGGCTGGACAGGCCCTTCCTGCCACATTTTGCTCCTGTGGCCTTTCAGCTGGTCGGGCCGGGTCCCCTGGCACCCCCTAGCTTTCCAGACCCCCAGGCGGGGAGGACCCTTTCAAGCTTGGTCCCCAGGGCCCAGCCTCCCCACCTGCCCCCAGTGGGCAGGTAGGGAAGTGCCCCTAAGCCTGCAATCCTGCAGTCTCCGAGGGTGGGCAAAAGTGGGGCCTAATGGGGCAGAGATAGGACCCATTCCTGATGCTTCCCCAGAATGGAGGGCCTGGGCCTAGGCCCCACCCAGCCGACCAGGAACCCCAGTCGGATAGACAAGTCACCCCAGGATCCACTCTATGGTCCAACCTGAAGCCTCCCGCACAGCTGGGCTGCACGGGCTCCACCCCATCCCACTCGCCCCTCAGAATTCAAGACCCTCCAACCCACCAGGTCATGTCTTCCCAGAGTCTCAGCCCAGGTGGGTTGGGGTGGTCCCCACATTGCTTCCCTACACACTCAGACTTAGTCATTTCAGGAGGACAGAGCAGTCAAAGGAGGCCTGGAACAAGGAGTGGGGGGGAAAGGAGGGTGTGGAGGGGAGGGGGG